TCTAAGTATGTAGTTTCATGCTCATAGATGAGTAAGCCAATAAGTGAATAGAACTAACATTCATAACTTCATAGTTTATAGAGTATTTTCCTATATACTTACTTCATTTGAGGTAAAGCAGAAACTATTCTCATCTTCAACAAAGGCTTACAGAGATTTCATTGTCTTATCCCAGGGCACACAGCTAACTGGTGACTGAGACCCAAATGTAGGTCTTCTTTTCTGAATCCTGGGCATTCTCTCATTCCACTTAGTTATATAGCACATCCATTTAATCTGCAGAACACCCAGCTAGTCCATATTAGTTTCAATACATTGACTAGGTCAGTTTCAAAGAGAAGGAAAGATTTTTTTATCTTTACATTAATTTAAAAATATTCCATAAAATGAGTAGCAATGGGAAAAAGATCTATTTGATGAGTTTATACATTTTCATATCAAGGCAGAATCTCCAAATAAAAAATGTATTCATCCATTTTCATCAGTGCTTTTCTTAGGTCTCACATTAAATCAGTGAATGTAGTAATAATCATGTTCCCAGCAGTGTGCTAGCCCAATTTCCCTAATGATTATGCTTGTAGATTCTGAGTTGTCATTTTTAAATCACAAGTAACATGAGCCCTTGTAAGGTTAGGTTGTAGACAATAACCTTACCAGAAAGCAATAGTGTACACAGAAGTGCATTCCCATATATCTGCAGATTGGAAGGTATGGTATAGAACTGTGAGGCTGTGCATCTGCTCCGATGAGGTTATTTATTATTGCTGTCCATGCCCATCTGCCTTCTGGCCTTGTTCTGGGTGAACAGAGAAGACTGTCTCTAGAGAGAAGACCATTTCTTTCTGTTTGTTATGTGGCCTCTCCTAGGAATTCCCACTTATTAATAAATAAGAATCATAGCTTAGAAGAAATGTCCTTTTTTAAAACTGCATTTGTTCTACAGTATCAGTTCTATTTACAAGTGACTCAGGAGATGGCAGGTAAAGTAATAAAAAGGACAATCATGTTTCCTTTTTCTCTATATTATGACAATTATAATGGTCTATGAAATTATGTTAAAATGATTTATGTATACTCCAATGATAGAATACCACAGTGCATTATTTTACACTAAAAAAAGAAACTTTTTTAGACAGTTGTTTTCAAAGGTATTGGAAGAAATTTGAGTGTGAGAAGAAACCAAGAATCTGCGAAGGTGAAATGTAGATTTCAGCAAATCAGAGTCGTTCCCTACCTCTGTCATTAAAAGATACTAATAAGGCATAGTTAAGTTCTGTAATTTATTCTTCAAACAATGCTGATAGCATAAGTACCCTGAATAATCATAATTATGCTCTAGTGCTTGAGCTGTAAACAGAAAGGAAATGAAGCATTTAACTGTATGCCATTAAGTAATAGAATGATCTTGGCCGGGGTCTTTGTGTTATTTTGTAGGGATTGAAGCCCTGCAGGAATCAAAATGGGAGCCACAGTGGGTGGCTAATTTTGTCTTTTAGTTCTCTGAAGCTATGTAATAATTCCTTAGAGTGGGATTCTCCCCTCCTCCCAAGAGCCTTACTTTATAAGTACTAGTTAATTAGAACTTAATAGTTGATATAATGATTATAGATCTAATTTGTTAATATAGGTCACTGCTTTCATATGTTTTTCAGATTTGAAAAACCATCTTTAGATTGGCAACAAAATCACTGCCAATTTATATATAAATAATAACGTTAAGTAATGCAAATGAATGGCAGAAATAGACTGATACTTCCATATTGAATCCTAGTATTTTAGTAATTTAACAAGTATTCCCAATTTTTTGCTCTCCCACTAAACTAATGCCTTTTTTGTCTTTGTATACCTGTTCCACTGAATTAAAATACTCCAGTTGTAAGCTGCTTTATAAATATTCAGAATATGAAAAAATGGATATTAAAAGAAATGAGTTAGCAGATAACAATTATATATTAATTACTGTGTATTATAAAATAACTGAAACCTTTGATATTTGATGTATGAATTCTATCTTCAAGTATTTTCAGTTTTGCTCAGCACTGTGCTGAGGCCTGGGGGCTTATAAAATAATGCCTTCAAGTAATGTATAATTTCTTGAGGTGGCAGTAATATGAAACAAGGCACCAGAACCATCCAGAGAAGGGGAGATCCATGATGTAGCTTGAAGACTTGGTGGAATAAGTGGTACCCAAGATAGGCCTTAATCAGTAGGCAAGATTTAGATAAGAAAAGAGAGACTTGAAGAAGTTGGGAATGATGATCATCATGTAAATAACAATTATGAACCTGGTGTTTGTGTGGTGTAACTATGAGATTAAACTGGTTGATGGAGGCTTTGCACTGAGGAATAGTGAGAGATGAGCTGGATACATAAGGGACCAATTGTGGAGACTGGACTGTAAATGTCAAAAGGGTTTTATAGCTGTTCTTGTGGGTGGTGAAAGCTGTGGGCAAATCTTAATTTTTGAAAATTAGAATTCAGACAACATTGTCAGCAGTGAATAAAGTAGATGAAGGGGGTAGTCAAGAAAAACCAAAAGAATACAGGCTGGTAAAAACATTAAGTAACCTAGTTTTGAGATTTTTGACTAGTGGTAGTAGGAATTGAGAAAATACAAAAGATCCTGCAAAAGAAGATTGGCTAACCATATCTAATGAAGACTATTCTCAAATTTGCACTGAGCTTTTAAAACAATCCAATCCATTATCTGATGGTGCTTACGTGCTAGTGTGCCAGGAAAATACATCTCTGAAATTTTTGTGTGCTATAAGTTGTCAAAGGACATCCCTCACATAGTTTATTTTGGCCACATGGGAAAATTCTTGTGCTCAATTCGAAAACAAGGCTTTTCCAAAATACACTCTATATTTTAAAACTTAAGTTGTGGGCAGGTATGGATGCCTTTCTCTTAGAGATAGAATATGCAATTAGAAAAAGTGTAGCTGTCTAGAAAGCCATCAAAATGGTTTTTTGGTTTTTTTTTTACTTAAAAGATGAAACCTTGTAAAAACCTGAATGAAAGCCACTAAGAGATATAGAGCTAGTATATCTAATGTGGAGATCAATCGAAAGAATTTGTGAAACTTAAGTAACTAAATGTTTTGTTTAACCACTGCTTCATTTGGAGATATTATAGATCTTTGTATGTGCTTAGCTGAAAAAAAAAAAGGGAATTGAATCTTATTTTTTAAAAGTAGGTTTTAGCTAATGAGAACAAAGTGAACTTCTAGAGGTTATATAATCTGATTATGTAACTTTAACAGAACAAGTGCTTGAAATTAACTGAACTTACATATCCTAAGTAAACAAATATATTTTCCTACCTGTGTAACTTTATCTTAATGTAAATTGAGAAACTTAACCTTTAACATTTTTTCACATAATTACCTCTCTTCTTGCAGGTGACTGTGGCTGTTCTTTTTTTATCTTTCTCTCTCAACCTCAAATCATTTATGAATAAGCCTTTATCTATATTAGGTTGAATTTTAGAACTCATTACCTAGAATGTGCCTAGAGACCAGATTGCTTACTCCATGGCTCTAACTTGTCGTGATCAACCTAAGACCAGGCCACCAACCTGATGTCCACCAAGAAACTGGTACAAGTCTGGTCCAACCCTCCTACCCCCTTCAAGGAGACTCATCTTATGTAGTAGTTAGCTTCTAAAGTCATCACACACAGTCAAACCCTTGAAAAATTTCTTAAGTCATCCACAAAATCACACGTAGTCTGTGTATATTATACCCTCATAAGTCTGACACAGCCAGATTTTTTCTCTACTATTGTTCTTCAATGAACAAGTGAGGTAATTAGCTCACATTTGAGAAGATGCTTTACGAAAAAAAATGAAACTTTTGCTTTCCTAAGAAAGTATAGATAAATTTGCCATAGTTAAATGTGCATTGATGTGACTCAACGGTATTCCTCTCCCAAACATTTCTAGACCCACCTTTCCATCCCTAATTCTTCAGCATATCACCAGTTTTCCTGCAGGCATTCATTCCCTGTCATTCCTCTGAAATGGAGGCTACTTGTTTTCTTTCCACCTGCACACCACATGAGCAGTGGCAGGCAGGGCTGGCGTCCTCCCCGCCACCTCGTGTCTCTGTTAGGCTTTCTGTGGTGTGTGTGAGAGCTGCTGCCAGGTCCGTGCTCCCTGGGTATTAGTGCTGTCATCTGCTGACATCATCAGCCTGGTCACTTTCTCACCCAGTAAAGACTAATAATCTGGCTCCCTGTCATCTCTATTCCCAAATTCTCCCATGCTGTTTGGCTTCAGCATCCATATGGACTTCCCATCGGACTCTATTTCAGCCACCCACTCCATGGCCATATCCTGTACCTAGTCATCTGAGAGATACTAAATTGAACAGCTTGCCATCTGACTTATTCCAAACTCCTATACTTCTAACTACATGTAATTCTTGGGCTTGGTAGGGACCTCCAGTTGCTGACTCCTCTGCTTTCTATCTGTCAGACATCTTCCATCTTCACTGCTTTGGCTGTATAGTTAGGACTTGATCACAGCAGTGTTTGTGTTTGGTTTGCTGTCTCCTGCTCTCTCCTCGATCCTCTGGAGTCTGGTTTCTGCCTCATCAGTCCAGTGAAACCTCTCAAGGGAACCAACAACTATTACTATTACTACTTAAATGTTTAATTTATTACTAGGTCTTTATTTTGAATTGTCTCTTTTAAGAATTCTACAATTCTGCCCTTTTATTGAGATTAGTTTTAGCCTCTACATAGTGAAAATTAGTGGATTTTACTAAAAATAATTTTTAAGTTATCATCTAACTAACATCATTTAATATAATGTGTTTGTGTTCCTTTTCAGTTTTATTACTAAAATGTACTTTTCCAAACTTGTCTATAATGAGGTCATTCTGCACTATTTAGATTACAGTATGTTTTAATTAAGCATGGAAAACATTATATATGTAACTCATTAATGTATTATGTGGTAATTGTTTTTAAATGAATTTCAATTCATGTTTTGCAGTTGAAGCTTTATATCAAACTACATACCCAGAATATCTCCAGTACATTTACTTGGTGGCGCCAATATCTCTTATGATGTTAAACCCTATAGGGTTTATCTTCTGTGAAATTCAGAAGTGGAAAGACACCCCCAATGCTTCTCAAAACAAAGTGAAAATTGTGGGACTTGGACTTCTGCGTGTATTACAGAACCCAATAGTATTTATGGTCTTCATTGGTATAGCCTTCAATTTTATTCTTGATCAAAAGGTGCCCATGTATATGGAAAATTTTCTTGATGGACTTGCAAATTCTTTTTCTGGATCAGCCCTATTTTATCTTGGCCTGACAATGGTAGGAAAAATAAAGAAACTGAAGAAGTCAGCATTTGTTGTACTAATTCTTCTCATCACAGCTAAACTGTAAGTTTCACTTATTGAACTTGGGGGTTGTATTTTGTGAAAGCCTTGTTTAGCCAATTCATTAGGATGTCTGCAGCTATTTTCTGCTTTAAATAGTGTGATGGTAATAATCTCTCCTGAGTAATGGTGATTTAAAGGAAGATATGAGATTGGTATATTGTGGGAAGTCATTTCCTTATTCTTTCCATTTTACTGTCAGAGGATAAAGACTTGGTTTTTCTTCAGCTTTTATATAGTTTTACTTAATGTCTCCTACCGTCCCCATTTTGAAAGGAATTTTGCAGGATTTCTGAGTTTTCTCAATCTATTAAAATCCTATTAGTCATGATTAAAACAATGATTTTTGAATATAAAGGTTTTTCATGAATTTGGGGGAAATATTCTATAATTTTGTGGGTGGTTGAACTTTCAAATACAGGTAAGTCAATGTGTATAATTACTATCAACTGTCTAGTCCTAGCCTGTCAAAAAGTTCTTATCAGCTCCTTAGTTAACGGTTCTTCAGCTTATTGAACTCATTAGCCATGGAGTTATCTTCATGGTATAGGTGATGTAATTTTACTGCATGAATCAAGGTACTTGGGGCATACTTACCCATTAAATTCAGCTTTTGTATAGACAGTTAAATTCATTAGACCAGTGTGATGTGAAATAGTATCTGTATTTTAAGATACAATAATAAAAGTGAATATAAGTTCTGAAAGTTATTTATGGTGGTGTTATTATGCTCATTGGAAATAAAATATTAATTAGTACTGTCACAGTAATAAATATGGTTCTAATGATAATATCAACTTCAACTTCTAAGCGTAACTTAAATATTCTCATTTTAAAAATCTTTTTTCTGGGTCTTTGATTTCTTTTATTTTTTTATCTACTTTTTTAACTTAAAAAATACATGTAAAGGTAGTTTTTAATTCAATCTTAGGGCCACTCTTTAGGTGCTGCTGGGACAATGTTGTCAACCTTGCTCTTGTTCTTTTTAAAAGAAAGCTCCATTTACTCAGCTACTGCTGTATACTGAAGGATTTGTTTAACAAGTGACTCTTCACCAGGTCTGGATTTCACTAACTTTCTGCCCTACCTAGTTGTTTCAGTTCTCTTTGCTAAACCTTTTTGTCTTCACAATGATGAAGAGCTAATTGTAAGACACCTATTTTAATACTGGCTTTTAGAATCGAATTGAGCAGCATTGTTATCATTACCTGAACTATTTAAACCCCTAATCATAATAAAGATCAGATTAATTTTTTTCAAAAAGAACTTTAGCAATTTTCCTTAAGAAAGTTTGCTCAGATTGTCAATCTTTTTTTCTTTTAACATTTCAATGAAAAAAGAAAGCAAGAAACAGCAGCTATAATTATACAACTCTTAGAATTTTTTGCAAGAAAATTATTTGCAGAACAAAAAAATCGGAATTTTTCCCTGATGTTTGAAGTGTATCTAGAATACTGTTATACTTTAAATGGTGCCAAGTTGAATTCTGATTGTTACCACAAATGTCCACAAGTAGGCCTGCAGACAGTATGTTCATGCAAATAGATACACCTTCTGGGCGTGAGGAAAACAACCTAATGCCAAGTTCACCAGAACAGTGTATCACTTGGGGACCAGCATTCTTTGATAGCAAGTAAATGATGTATTTCTTGTTCCTTCAGCCTGGTGCTGCCCCTTCTGTGCAGAGAAATGGTGGAACTCTTGGACAAGGGCGACAGTGTAGTGAACCATACAAGCTTATCAAATTATGCATTTTTGTATGGTGTATTTCCTGTAGCACCGGGAGTGGCTATCTTTGCAACACAGTTCAACATGGAAGTAGAGATTGTATGTATATACCACTTTCTGATTGTTTGCATGGCTAGTAGAAAAGTGAATTTTTAAAACAGAAATCAGCATTCTTCCATGAAAATTTGATACCTGTAAGCTACTTTGTTGAAAATAAGAAGACATTATATAACAATAGACTTATTTTACCTGGGGTCTTTATTTAGCCATGATTTTTTTCATTAGCCTTTGTTAGTTTCAAGTATTTTAATAGTATACTTAAGTGTAAAAGTTATTTTAGGTAATTTTTGAAATTTTGAGGAAAAAAATCTGTTTTATTCATTGATTATTCAACCACCAGCACATCATCAAATGCAGTAAATAGCTAAAATCAATTAACACCAAATTGTTAACAGTGTCTAAGGATATTGTTTATGTTATATGCAGCATTTAACTTTTTGAAATATAACATGAAGGAAAATTATTTCACAAAGTTTATTTCTATTATTTAATCTGTAAAATGTCTGCCTAGCATTTTTTCTCATTTTGGATTGATTTTATTGCCTTACATTTTTTGCGATAGTTCAGAAGGAAATGGGTCATTGGTTTAATTAGATCATTAATATGGTTTACTTTCTGGAATGTAGAAGATAACCATAAGCAGTGGGATGTCACATAATTATTACGTGCAAATATTAATTGAGCATAGTTTGGAAGAGATGCCAAGGGAACTGAACTGTTTTCTTCTAAGGACTCTTAGAAAGGGGAAATATGGTATTAAATGGCATGCTGGATTCTATGCTGTCTTCCTATGGACTCTTACTCTTACTCTAGAATGCTGTTGTGTGCTATGGCTCTTTACAGTGTAAGGTAATTGTTTACCTGAGACTTTGACCCTTCCTCAATTTGATTTCATTTTTGCAGATAACTTCAGGAATGGTAATAAGCACATTTGTGTCCGCGCCAATCATGTATGTCTCTGCCTGGTTACTGACCTTTCCCACTATGGACCCTAAGCCATTGGCCTATGCCATCCAAAATGTTAGTTTTGATATAAGTATTATCAGCCTGGTCTCCTTGGTAAGTATGTTCCAGGGTAAAAATGAATGAAAACTGCAGAATGAGTTTGAGAATAGATCAGAAACAGGAAATTAGGGATTTAAATATCTAACTTCTTATGCAATAGAGAAAGCAAATGCCTGCCCAGAAAATGTATTATCAACCTTTTGAGTTTTGTCTTTCCAGTTGGGAATTAAGAGTTACACAGCAGACAAGACATCAGATTTAGTTAGACCTGGATTTGACTCTTAGACCTATCCCAAACTAGCTGTATGTCTCTGTGGAGCAACCTTAACCTCTCTTGGCTTCAGTTTCCTTTGATATAATTTTACCTATGACCATGGGTTGTTATAAGGATTACGTGAGACAATATATGTGAAAAGTATTCTGCAAGTGGCAAATCACTATACAAATACTAACTACTGTAAAATCACGGGTTGGAAGGAGTCTTCAGGGTCACATCCAACCACCCATTTAATGTTAATGAAACTTTCTTGATATATATTGTTCAAAATAAAGACTTAAACATTTGACAACTAGAGTATCTTATAGATCAAGTTGCCTATGGAAGTCAAGCAGTATACTGGCTGGAAAAAAAAAGACAACTTTTACGGTTAAAGGAAAGGAGGTGGGGATGAACATGTATATTGGCAACAGATAAATGTATGATTAATGTAATTTTTAGGAAATTTCACTCCTGTTATTCTTAAAATCTATACCCATTGATAAGGCAATTTGGGGAGAGAGACGATATAAATTTTGATTGACAATGAAGGGAGAACAAATAAGGAAATCAACCCAGCATGTTTATCTGGCCACTACAGGCAGAATAGAAACCCAATCCTTTTAAATACAAGGAATACAAGATGATTAATCTCAAGGTGGGCAATGTGTGTTGTTGAAATAAGACTGTCTGGAATTTAGATACCTTGTGAGCCAAAATGGTAGAATCAAGAGGAGAAAACTTAGAATGTAACTGCATCTCCCACTAAAGATCTTTTTCTGAATAGTTGGCTGTGAACCTGTGTCCCACCCAGCCACCAAATGTACAGAAAGTTATAACATGGCCCTAGTCAAGGTCTTGAAGACCCTATAATTTTTTGGACAGTTAATTTATGATAGGATCTCTCCATGCTTTTTTTTCCTTTAAATATAATTGGCCTACAATATACCTCCCATTAGTTTCAGGTGTACATCATAGTGATTTCCTATTTTTATGAAATGATCCACATTGTAAGTCAAGTTACTATTTGTAAGCATACAAAGTTATTACAGTATTATTACTGTATTCTGTATGCTGTAAATTATATCCCTATGACTTACTTATTTTGTACCTCTTAATCCACTTCACCATTTCATCCACTGCCTAGCCTTCCCCCTTCTGGTAACCAACAGTTTCCTGTATCCATGAGTCTGTTGCTGTTTTGTTTGTTTGGTTAGTTTTTCAGGTTTCACATGTAAGTGAAATCATATGGTATTTGTCTTCCTTTCTCCAATTTATTTCATTTAGCATAATACCCTCTAAGACCATCCATATGGTTGCATCTTAATGCTTTTTATTTTGCTTTAGATATAGTAATTTGCCTTAATACTCTTTGAGGAACTAGACAGATTAATGTAAATAAGATACTGGAATTTCTTTCTGAATCAGGATAAAGAGGATTTGTTAAAGAGGCTGGGTTATTTAATAAGTAATTATAAAGGTTAAGAAACCTGAATGACTTTTGAATGTTTTGTCTTTTAAGATCTGGTCTCTAGCTATTCTTCTTTTGAGTAAGAAATATAAACAGCTTCCGCATATGCTTACAACTAACTTACTCATCGCTCAGGTTAGTAAATGTAAGGTGTTTAGAACTATCCTTTTTTCATTGATTATAGTACTATAGAGGAGAAAATTACTTTGCTGGGTTTTTCCAGTTATAAAATCAGAAATATTTTATACCAAATGCAATAAATTATAATTTGATTAGTTTCTTTATGTCTAGTTTATTAAATATTGAAATAGGTCTTGGACTCAATAAAGTTGAGACTATTTAACAAGTATTCCCAATTTTTTGCTCTCCCACTAAACTAATGCCTTTTTTGTCTTTGTATACCTGTTCCACTGAATTAAAATACTCCAGTTGTAAGCTGCTTTATAAATATTCAGAATATGAAAAAATGGATATTAAAAGAAATGAGTTAGCAGATAACAATTATATATTAATTACTGTGTATTATAAAATAACTGAAACCTTTGATATTTGATGTATGAATTCTATCTTCAAGTATTTTCAGTTTTGCTCAGCACTGTGCTGAGGCCTGGGGGCTTATAAAATAATGCCTTCAAGTAATGTATAATTTCTTGAGGTGGCAGTAATATGAAACAAGGCACCAGAACCATCCAGAGAAGGGGAGATCCATGATGTAGCTTGAAGACTTGGTGGAATAAGTGGTACCCAAGATAGGCCTTAATCAGTAGGCAAGATTTAGATAAGAAAAGAGAGACTTGAAGAAGTTGGGAATGATGATCATCATGTAAATAACAATTATGAACCTGGTGTTTGTGTGGTGTAACTATGAGATTAAACTGGTTGATGGAGGCTTTGCACTGAGGAATAGTGAGAGATGAGCTGGATACATAAGGGACCAATTGTGGAGACTGGACTGTAAATGTCAAAAGGGTTTTATAGCTGTTCTTGTGGGTGGTGAAAGCTGTGGGCAAATCTTAATTTTTGAAAATTAGAATTCAGACAACATTGTCAGCAGTGAATAAAGTAGATGAAGGGGGTAGTCAAGAAAAACCAAAAGAATACAGGCTGGTAAAAACATTAAGTAACCTAGTTTTGAGATTTTTGACTAGTGGTAGTAGGAATTGAGAAAATACAAAAGATCCTGCAAAAGAAGATTGGCTAACCATATCTAATGAAGACTATTCTCAAATTTGCACTGAGCTTTTAAAACAATCCAATCCATTATCTGATGGTGCTTACGTGCTAGTGTGCCAGGAAAATACATCTCTGAAATTTTTGTGTGCTATAAGTTGTCAAAGGACATCCCTCACATAGTTTATTTTGGCCACATGGGAAAATTCTTGTGCTCAATTCGAAAACAAGGCTTTTCCAAAATACACTCTATATTTTAAAACTTAAGTTGTGGGCAGGTATGGATGCCTTTCTCTTAGAGATAGAATATGCAATTAGAAAAAGTGTAGCTGTCTAGAAAGCCATCAAAATGGTTTTTTGGTTTTTTTTTTACTTAAAAGATGAAACCTTGTAAAAACCTGAATGAAAGCCACTAAGAGATATAGAGCTAGTATATCTAATGTGGAGATCAATCGAAAGAATTTGTGAAACTTAAGTAACTAAATGTTTTGTTTAACCACTGCTTCATTTGGAGATATTATAGATCTTTGTATGTGCTTAGCTGAAAAAAAAAAAGGGAATTGAATCTTATTTTTTAAAAGTAGGTTTTAGCTAATGAGAACAAAGTGAACTTCTAGAGGTTATATAATCTGATTATGTAACTTTAACAGAACAAGTGCTTGAAATTAACTGAACTTACATATCCTAAGTAAACAAATATATTTTCCTACCTGTGTAACTTTATCTTAATGTAAATTGAGAAACTTAACCTTTAACATTTTTTCACATAATTACCTCTCTTCTTGCAGGTGACTGTGGCTGTTCTTTTTTTATCTTTCTCTCTCAACCTCAAATCATTTATGAATAAGCCTTTATCTATATTAGGTTGAATTTTAGAACTCATTACCTAGAATGTGCCTAGAGACCAGATTGCTTACTCCATGGCTCTAACTTGTCGTGATCAACCTAAGACCAGGCCACCAACCTGATGTCCACCAAGAAACTGGTACAAGTCTGGTCCAACCCTCCTACCCCCTTCAAGGAGACTCATCTTATGTAGTAGTTAGCTTCTAAAGTCATCACACACAGTCAAACCCTTGAAAAATTTCTTAAGTCATCCACAAAATCACACGTAGTCTGTGTATATTATACCCTCATAAGTCTGACACAGCCAGATTTTTTCTCTACTATTGTTCTTCAATGAACAAGTGAGGTAATTAGCTCACATTTGAGAAGATGCTTTACGAAAAAAAATGAAACTTTTGCTTTCCTAAGAAAGTATAGATAAATTTGCCATAGTTAAATGTGCATTGATGTGACTCAACGGTATTCCTCTCCCAAACATTTCTAGACCCACCTTTCCATCCCTAATTCTTCAGCATATCACCAGTTTTCCTGCAGGCATTCATTCCCTGTCATTCCTCTGAAATGGAGGCTACTTGTTTTCTTTCCACCTGCACACCACATGAGCAGTGGCAGGCAGGGCTGGCGTCCTCCCCGCCACCTCGTGTCTCTGTTAGGCTTTCTGTGGTGTGTGTGAGAGCTGCTGCCAGGTCCGTGCTCCCTGGGTATTAGTGCTGTCATCTGCTGACATCATCAGCCTGGTCACTTTCTCACCCAGTAAAGACTAATAATCTGGCTCCCTGTCATCTCTATTCCCAAATTCTCCCATGCTGTTTGGCTTCAGCATCCATATGGACTTCCCATCGGACTCTATTTCAGCCACCCACTCCATGGCCATATCCTGTACCTAGTCATCTGAGAGATACTAAATTGAACAGCTTGCCATCTGACTTATTCCAAACTCCTATACTTCTAACTACATGTAATTCTTGGGCTTGGTAGGGACCTCCAGTTGCTGACTCCTCTGCTTTCTATCTGTCAGACATCTTCCATCTTCACTGCTTTGGCTGTATAGTTAGGACTTGATCACAGCAGTGTTTGTGTTTGGTTTGCTGTCTCCTGCTCTCTCCTCGATCCTCTGGAGTCTGGTTTCTGCCTCATCAGTCCAGTGAAACCTCTCAAGGGAACCAACAACTATTACTATTACTACTTAAATGTTTAATTTATTACTAGGTCTTTATTTTGAATTGTCTCTTTTAAGAATTCTACAATTCTGCCCTTTTATTGAGATTAGTTTTAGCCTCTACATAGTGAAAATTAGTGGATTTTACTAAAAATAATTTTTAAGTTATCATCTAACTAACATCATTTAATATAATGTGTTTGTGTTCCTTTTCAGTTTTATTACTAAAATGTACTTTTCCAAACTTGTCTATAATGAGGTCATTCTGCACTATTTAGATTACAGTATGTTTTAATTAAGCATGGAAAACATTATATATGTAACTCATTAATGTATTATGTGGTAATTGTTTTTAAATGAATTTCAATTCATGTTTTGCAGTTGAAGCTTTATATCAAACTACATACCCAGAATATCTCCAGTACATTTACTTGGTGGCGCCAATATCTCTTATGATGTTAAACCCTATAGGGTTTATCTTCTGTGAAATTCAGAAGTGGAAAGACACCCCCAATGCTTCTCAAAACAAAGTGAAAATTGTGGGACTTGGACTTCTGCGTGTATTACAGAACCCAATAGTATTTATGGTCTTCATTGGTATAGCCTTCAATTTTATTCTTGATCAAAAGGTGCCCATGTATATGGAAAATTTTCTTGATGGACTTGCAAATTCTTTTTCTGGATCAGCCCTATTTTATCTTGGCCTGACAATGGTAGGAAAAATAAAGAAACTGAAGAAGTCAGCATTTGTTGTACTAATTCTTCTCATCACAGCTAAACTGTAAGTTTCACTTATTGAACTTGGGGGTTGTATTTTGTGAAAGCCTTGTTTAGCCAATTCATTAGGATGTCTGCAGCTATTTTCTGCTTTAAATAGTGTGATGGTAATAATCTCTCCTGAGTAATGGTGATTTAAAGGAAGATATGAGATTGGTATATTGTGGGAAGTCATTTCCTTATTCTTTCCATTTTACTGTCAGAGGATAAAGACTTGGTTTTTCTTCAGCTTTTATATAGTTTTACTTAATGTCTCCTACCGTCCCCATTTTGAAAGGAATTTTGCAGGATTTCTGAGTTTTCTCAATCTATTAAAATCCTATTAGTCATGATTAAAACAATGATTTTTGAATATAAAGGTTTTTCATGAATTTGGGGGAAATATTCTATAATTTTGTGGGTGGTTGAACTTTCAAATACAGGTAAGTCAATGTGTATAATTACTATCAACTGTCTAGTCCTAGCCTGTCAAAAAGTTCTTATCAGCTCCTTAGTTAACGGTTCTTCAGCTTATTGAACTCATTAGCCATGGAGTTATCTTCATGGTATAGGTGATGTAATTTTACTGCATGAATCAAGGTACTTGGGGCATACTTACCCATTAAATTCAGCTTTTGTATAGACAGTTAAATTCATTAGACCAGTGTGATGTGAAATAGTATCTGTATTTTAAGATACAATAATAAAAGTGAATATAAGTTCTGAAAGTTATTTATGGTGGTGTTATTATGCTCATTGGAAATAAAATATTAATTAGTACTGTCACAGTAATAAATATGGTTCTAATGATAATATCAACTTCAACTTCTAAGCGTAACTTAAATATTCTCATTTTAAAAATCTTTTTTCTGGGTCTTTGATTTCTTTTATTTTTTTATCTACTTTTTTAACTTAAAAAATACATGTAAAGGTAGTTTTTAATTCAATCTTAGGGCCACTCTTTAGGTGCTGCTGGGACAATGTTGTCAACCTTGCTCTTGTTCTTTTTAAAAGAAAGCTCCATTTACTCAGCTACTGCTGTATACTGAAGGATTTGTTTAACAAGTGACTCTTCACCAGGTCTGGATTTCACTAACTTTCTGCCCTACCTAGTTGTTTCAGTTCTCTTTGCTAAACCTTTTTGTCTTCACAATGATGAAGAGCTAATTGTAAGACACCTATTTTAATACTGGCTTTTAGAATCGAATTGAGCAGCATTGTTATCATTACCTGAACTATTTAAACCCCTAATCATAATAAAGATCAGATTAATTTTTTTCAAAAAGAACTTTAGCAATTTTCCTTAAGAAAGTTTGCTCAGATTGTCAATCTTTTTTTCTTTTAACATTTCAATGAAAAAAGAAAGCAAGAAACAGCAGCTATAATTATACAACTCTTAGAATTTTTTGCAAGAAAATTATTTGCAGAACAAAAAAATCGGAATTTTTCCCTGATGTTTGAAGTGTATCTAGAATACTGTTATACTTTAAATGGTGCCAAGTTGAATTCTGATTGTTACCACAAATGTCCACAAGTAGGCCTGCAGACAGTATGTTCATGCAAATAGATACACCTTCTGGGCGTGAGGAAAACAACCTAATGCCAAGTTCACCAGAACAGTGTATCACTTGGGGACCAGCATTCTTTGATAGCAAGTAAATGATGTATTTCTTGTTCCTTCAGCCTGGTGCTGCCCCTTCTGTGCAGAGAAATGGTGGAACTCTTGGACAAGGGCGACAGTGTAGTGAACCATACAAGCTTATCAAATTATGCATTTTTGTATGGTGTATTTCCTGTAGCACCGGGAGTGGCTATCTTTGCAACACAGTTCAACATGGAAGTAGAGATTGTATGTATATACCACTTTCTGATTGTTTGCATGGCTAGTAGAAAAGTGAATTTTTAAAACAGAAATCAGCATTCTTCCATGAAAATTTGATACCTGTAAGCTACTTTGTTGAAAATAAGAAGACATTATATAACAATAGACTTATTTTACCTGGGGTCTTTATTTAGCCATGATTTTTTTCATTAGCCTTTGTTAGTTTCAAGTATTTTAATAGTATACTTAAGTGTAAAAGTTATTTTAGGTAATTTTTGAAATTTTGAGGAAAAAAATCTGTTTTATTCATTGATTATTCAACCACCAGCACATCATCAAATGCAGTAAATAGCTAAAATCAATTAACACCAAATTGTTAACAGTGTCTAAGGATATTGTTTATGTTATATGCAGCATTTAACTTTTTGAAATATAACATGAAGGAAAATTATTTCACAAAGTTTATTTCTATTATTTAATCTGTAAAATGTCTGCCTAGCATTTTTTCTCATTTTGGATTGATTTTATTGCCTTACATTTTTTGCGATAGTTCAGAAGGAAATGGGTCATTGGTTTAATTAGATCATTAATATGGTTTACTTTCTGGAATGTAGAAGATAACCATAAGCAGTGGGATGTCACATAATTATTACGTGCAAATATTAATTGAGCATAGTTTGGAAGAGATGCCAAGGGAACTGAACTGTTTTCTTCTAAGGACTCTTAGAAAGGGGAAATATGGTATTAAATGGCATGCTGGATTCTATGCTGTCTTCCTATGGACTCTTACTCTTACTCTAGAATGCTGTTGTGTGCTATGGCTCTTTACAGTGTAAGGTAATTGTTTACCTGAGACTTTGACCCTTCCTCAATTTGATTTCATTTTTGCAGATAACTTCAGGAATGGTAATAAGCACATTTGTGTCCGCGCCAATCATGTATGTCTCTGCCTGGTTACTGACCTTTCCCACTATGGACCCTAAGCCATTGGCCTATGCCATCCAAAATGTTAGTTTTGATATAAGTATTATCAGCCTGGTCTCCTTGGTAAGTATGTTCCAGGGTAAAAATGAATGAAAACTGCAGAATGAGTTTGAGAATAGATCAGAAACAGGAAATTAGGGATTTAAATATCTAACTTCTTATGCAATAGAGAAAGCAAATGCCTGCCCAGAAAATGTATTATCAACCTTTTGAGTTTTGTCTTTCCAGTTGGGAATTAAGAGTTACACAGCAGACAAGACATCAGATTTAGTTAGACCTGGATTTGACTCTTAGACCTATCCCAAACTAGCTGTATGTCTCTGTGGAGCAACCTTAACCTCTCTTGGCTTCAGTTTCCTTTGATATAATTTTACCTATGACCATGGGTTGTTATAAGGATTACGTGAGACAATATATGTGAAAAGTATTCTGCAAGTGGCAAATCACTATACAAATACTAACTACTGTAAAATCACGGGTTGGAAGGAGTCTTCAGGGTCACATCCAACCACCCATTTAATGTTAATGAAACTTTCTTGATATATATTGTTCAAAATAAAGACTTAAACATTTGACAACTAGAGTATCTTATAGATCAAGTTGCCTATGGAAGTCAAGCAGTATACTGGCTGGAAAAAAAAAGACAACTTTTACGGTTAAAGGAAAGGAGGTGGGGATGAACATGTATATTGGCAACAGATAAATGTATGATTAATGTAATTTTTAGGAAATTTCACTCCTGTTATTCTTAAAATCTATACCCATTGATAAGGCAATTTGGGGAGAGAGACGATATAAATTTTGATTGACAATGAAGGGAGAACAAATAAGGAAATCAACCCAGCATGTTTATCTGGCCACTACAGGCAGAATAGAAACCCAATCCTTTTAAATACAAGGAATACAAGATGATTAATCTCAAGGTGGGCAATGTGTGTTGTTGAAATAAGACTGTCTGGAATTTAGATACCTTGTGAGCCAAAATGGTAGAATCAAGAGGAGAAAACTTAGAATGTAACTGCATCTCCCACTAAAGATCTTTTTCTGAATAGTTGGCTGTGAACCTGTGTCCCACCCAGCCACCAAATGTACAGAAAGTTATAACATGGCCCTAGTCAAGGTCTTGAAGACCCTATAATTTTTTGGACAGTTAATTTATGATAGGATCTCTCCATGCTTTTTTTTCCTTTAAATATAATTGGCCTACAATATACCTCCCATTAGTTTCAGGTGTACATCATAGTGATTTCCTATTTTTATGAAATGATCCACATTGTAAGTCAAGTTACTATTTGTAAGCATACAAAGTTATTACAGTATTATTACTGTATTCTGTATGCTGTAAATTATATCCCTATGACTTACTTATTTTGTACCTCTTAATCCACTTCACCATTTCATCCACTGCCTAGCCTTCCCCCTTCTGGTAACCAACAGTTTCCTGTATCCATGAGTCTGTTGCTGTTTTGTTTGTTTGGTTAGTTTTTCAGGTTTCACATGTAAGTGAAATCATATGGTATTTGTCTTCCTTTCTCCAATTTATTTCATTTAGCATAATACCCTCTAAGACCATCCATATGGTTGCATCTTAATGCTTTTTATTTTGCTTTAGATATAGTAATTTGCCTTAATACTCTTTGAGGAACTAGACAGATTAATGTAAATAAGATACTGGAATTTCTTTCTGAATCAGGATAAAGAGGATTTGTTAAAGAGGCTGGGTTATTTAATAAGTAATTATAAAGGTTAAGAAACCTGAATGACTTTTGAATGTTTTGTCTTTTAAGATCTGGTCTCTAGCTATTCTTCTTTTGAGTAAGAAATATAAACAGCTTCCGCATATGCTTACAACTAACTTACTCATCGCTCAGGTTAGTAAATGTAAGGTGTTTAGAACTATCCTTTTTTCATTGATTATAGTACTATAGAGGAGAAAATTACTTTGCTGGGTTTTTCCAGTTATAAAATCAGAAATATTTTATACCAAATGCAATAAATTATAATTTGATTAGTTTCTTTATGTCTAGTTTATTAAATATTGAAATAGGTCTTGGACTCAATAAAGTTGAGACTAATGATGGTATTTGATGATAATTTTGCATTTTTAATAGAAATAATTTAATCGTTAAAAACTGAACTCTCTCAGAATCTTATTTTTATAGTTAAACCTTTGCATATCTCAAATTATAATGGGAAGATGTTTAATATTTTCTGGGAAAATAGCATTATGTTAATATAATGTTCATATTTAGGATGTCATATGCTTCAATTGAATGTGTACATTTTGAAGGCTGTATAAAAAGGGTTTCTTATAAAACTTAATATCTTAGTATAACTAGTATGCAATAGATGATATTCAGCAATAATTTTAAATGAATAATTATATTTTCTATGAATAAAACAGTATGACTCATATGAATATGACTGACTGTTTTTTTCATAATTTATTCTTCAGTCTATTGTCTGTGCTGGAATGATGATATGGAATTTTGTTAAAGAAAAAAATTTTGTTGGACAAATTCTGGTGTTTGTTCTATTATATAGTTCTCTCTATAGCACCTACCTGTGGACAGGTAAGTTGGATCATGAATGGAAATTTAGGTCTGTCTCCCTGTTCTCTATTTCTAGAAGCCCTCAGCTTTTAATGATCTATTTGGAGTCTAGTAGTACAGAATTAAGGCATTTCTCTCAGGCAGTTACACACACTAACATAGGCAGTGTGCAAAGCTGAGTTCTCGTCCCTGGTGTACCCTGTTTCTGCTTGGGTTCAGGTGGTTTCCAGTTACATGGCTCTTTTCTTCAGGATCCTTGGCTTTAGGCCACAGTCAGCACGGCTCCCCTTGGAGACACCAAGAAGGCACTTGAAAGCAGGTGGAGAAAGGAAGGAGGGAATGGACAGAGAGGAATGAGGCATCAGGTATATCCCAGAGCTCACTGTTAGGGTCCACCCAAGCTAGAGGAAAAATTCTGCTTAAACAAGTGGCTTAACTTTTGCAGTCTCAGTTTCCTCATGTGTAGGACTGGGTCATGACACCTTATAAAGTTATTTTGGAATTAAACAAAATATGGGTATTTATGTCTGGCAGATGGTAGGCATTCAACAAATGGAATATATTATTAATTAGCGGGAGAAGCGGTAATATGAGAGCAATGAAAGTAAGAAATGAAAGGGTATGGAAAAAGAAGAGTACCCAGTAAGAAAGACTATTTCTCATTTCAACTGGCTCAAAAAAAGGATATTCAAAATGTTTTAGTACTTTGCTATTTTTGAAGTACAATATTTATTTGGATGCTTACATTCTGGTATGTGTGTGAAACATTCTGTCTGTGGTTTGTATTCATACCACAAATGTGAACCTGTAGAACAGCGGTAAAAGGAAACTGTGGAATGATAGGGCTGGTTATAGCCACTGTAGGAGGCAGGTGTCAGGAAGTGGCTTCGAGGGATAGGCTTTTGACTTCATGCCTTTGGGATAAAAAGCAGGACCCATCTAAATCAACAGCCTTTTGAAGTGAAGCAGCAATGTGAGAAATTACAGAATGAGAAAGAAAGTGCAAACAGAAGAAGATTTATGCATTTTAAAGGCAAGAACACATTACATAGCATAAGAATTTTCATGACCTGTCAAGTTGAAAGAACCTAAAGACATTATTTCCAAATGCAGGTGAACCAACTTAATCTCTAATACTTAGATTTCTTAAGACTAAGTTTATAATGAGAATAACGGAGCAGCAAATAGATCAATGTATCAAGTCTCCCTAAAATCCTCCTCAAGCATAATGCCAAAATCTAACCTGAGACATTGTTCTGAATTCTCTGACCCTGATGAAGGTGCACTTTAACCTTGAGATTATGATGATATAACAGAATTTTAGGCCTAAATGTTTTTTAAAATCATCCCATTCAGCCACTTTGTTTCACTTGTATACACACTATTCTCATGGTTTTGCTATATCTGCATACCATTTGTCCTTTTTTACTTTTCCTTAAAATTGATTCATTTTTCACTTTAATAAATTAAGTCTTATATCAGTAAAAACCCAAGTTTCATGCGCTAGTTAAAGTTTTTCAAACACATGTTAAAATGAGCGCATAACTAGTCAAAAATTTTTCACCCTTGTGAAAAGTCTCTATACTTTTGGATACTCTGGGTCTAATTTAAATCCTTCATTTTGAGGATTTCAAATGAGGAAAATACAGCCCAAAGGGTTTAACTGATTCAAGCAGGAGCTCTCATAGCTTTGGCTGTGAGATATCCAGGGCTAGACTGGTCTGTTTGCTATATCAATCTTCCATAAGGCAGGAATGATGAACATTAGAAACTTGAGTTCTTTAAAGAGAACATTAGAACTCACTACTGTAACACAGCTGGCACACTTTTGTGATTGGTAACTTACTTCCCTGGGCTTTGAAAACCTTTCTAAAGTGTACAGATGTATTTTAGGAAGAAGCAGTGGTATTATAGGATCCCTTAAACTTGAATAATGTGTAGGTCCTCTGTAAAGAAAAACAATTCTGAAGGACCTCAGTGTTGATTTATATTGTTTCTAGCACAGTATTACTTAATCTGTACAACCTTAAATCTAGGTATGGATTCCTTCTATGCAGCTAATATACAACCGTAAAACCAAAACAAATTCACAAAAGAGATTCAAACAAAACTATGAACTCAGTACCTCTAATTAGCAATTTAACTGACATGACAAAGAATCTTGTTTTGCTAATCTGAATCACAGCCTGAAAAGTAAAATGTAACTCACTTCTTGGTGAGGGTTTTTTCTTCAGTTTGGCCTGCCTTTGCTTTCATTTGTGGTTTGTGACCTGGTTAGCTCACTGCTCTTCTTCAGACTACACCTAACCTTCATTTGGACAGTGTGTTGTGATATCATTTGGCCTGTAGACTTAAACTTAATATAAAACCAAATGTAAGCCCTGAAATTATGAGTCTGTACATCAGTTATAAAATGGGCATAGATGATTATCATTGAAAATACACCAAAAAGACTTAAAATTTCTCAAAGAAATTTCCAGGTCCTGCAGATTGTCTTAGGAACCCTAGGGATCCAAGGATCTAAGTTTTAGAAACAGTGCTTGGCTCAGAAGCCTTGGTTTCTAGTCTTACTCTGCCCTCTGCTGGCTGTGTGGCTTGGGCAAACCCTTGTTTCCATATCTCTAAGATAAAGGTGTTAACTTAAAACAGTGGTCCTTTCCAACCCTAAACTTCTAAGATTCTATAGCTATGTAGAATTTATTAAATAAGATGTTACTTGTATAAGTAGTTGGGTATAATTATAGGAAAAGCTCAAGAGCTTTAAAACATTTGTTTTGTATTGAGTCATATTATATTTGTATTAAGGTCCATCATTTAGACTTGGGGCATTTTCCAAAAATAAATTGTGTAAAAATTGCCTATACTTTCTTAGCACCAGCAGAGTGGAAGTTTTTTTATTTTTACACTTGCTCAGTATTCAGTTAAAAAAATTTTTTTCTAAATATACTTAGATTACAAACACATTACTCAAAAGAATAAAATGATTGGGGCTTTTGAAAAAGTTCTCATGTATAAAACAAGATTTGAGTAAAGAAACATGGTAGGAAGGAAAACACAAATGATTTTGAATTAAGAAAATCTGCTTCAAAATATTGGGGACAGTGTTTATTTAGAAGGAATAAATTCTAGCACAAAAACTACAGATGACTATTGAAATAAGCTTGGTTAATGTTGCATGAAGTCTGAACATCAGAGTGATTATCCTTCAATCTCTGTTTCTTGTTCTTAGGCCTTCTAGCAGTTTCTTTATTTCTTTTGAAAAAGAGAGAGAGCATACAAATTCCTGTTGGAATCATCATAATATCTGGCTGGGGGTAAGTTGGTAGTTTTCTATTGGCTTACATAGTTCCATACATACAATCACTGCCCATTCTCTCTCTTTAAACCCTTGTTACTACAGAATTCCTGCTCTCCTTGTGGGTGTTCTTTTGATAACTGGAAAACATAATGGAGATAGCATTGACTCAGCATTCTTTTATGGAAAAGAGCAGGTGAGAAGAGTTCGTGAGGTATGTTCTTAAGAACATTTCTTTTTAGCTTGCCTTAAAGTGTGTTTGCTACACTTGTATTAAAATTTATTTTGAAAAATAAAGTTTTTTGATATTCCAACTTATTACATATCACACTGGTGATCATATTGGACTTTGTTAAACCACCCCTCAAAATGAAAAGATTTTACATACCCAAGTCCATTTTTAGCAGAGGATTTCCAATTGTTTGAAACTTACTGAGTCTTCTAAAATTTACTTAATGAATTATGTTTCTTCTACTGGAGGAAAGAGTAATTAATTAAAAGCCATTTAATAAGTTAGCAGTTAAAAGTTCTTGACTTTCAGTCCTGTCATAAATGTATTTCAAAACAAAAAGTTATTTTTTTAAAAATGTGCATAAAAAGCTACAGATTAGGAGGTTTGTGGAACCTGCTGAATCAGAATTCTCCAGGAGTAGGGCCCAAAGACATACGTTGTTTTAAAACCTCCTCAAATGATTTTCATATCTATCCTTTTTTTCTGTTTTGTAATTTTGGATTTTATTTGATTGTGTGAATAAATAATATCATACATATAAAGGACTTAGACTAGTGCTGGCATATAGTTGTTTCTCAGTAAGTATTAGCTATAACTATATTTTTAGTACTATTACCATAGCAAAGTCTCTATTGAAGTATGCTTGGACTATGTATTAAATAAAGTAAGCAAAAACTTTGAAGTAAAGAAAAGGTCTGTAAGCAGTCATTGAGACTACTGATTGGGGAAACCAGTGACACTGATGTATGAAGAGAAAAGCATCTAAAAATCTTACATGATTACAAGCAATCCAAATTTCTCTATAAGTAATCTACATCCCTTCCATACTCTTGCTCTTTTTGAATAACCACTATTCTATAGCATTTACAGCTACAGAGATGTTTCATTTTCTACCAAAAAAGAGCCCTTAACTCTATTCTACTATGATTGTTAAGGTGGGATTGTGAAAAGTGGCCTAACATCTTTTTGCAACATTGGCAGATTATTATCACAGCAGTCACCCTGTTCTGCAGCATCGTGATAGCTGGCATATCACTCATGTGTATGAATCGCACCGCCCAAGCAGGACGCTACGAAGGTTTTGACCAGTCTCAGAACCACAAAGCAGCAGAACCTGGAAACGCTGCTTTTGAGGAGAGTGCAGAGCCCATAAGTGAGCCTGAGCCTTTTACAACTCCTGTCCCAGACGCAAGTATGATCCTTAAACATAAAGCAACTTTTACATACCTGTATAGCATGTATACTAAATGTTTAGTTTAAGGGAACTTATTTGAACTACTTTGAATATCACAAATATGTCAAATGAGGCAGAATTTGAATCAAAGTAATAGAGCTTGCAGGTTCATTCATTAGATGATTATTAACACATCTTTTATGAGAATAATGTTTTGTTAAATCCTAAGACGTCTTTGGACCTGAGAGGTTGGAAAAAAGTAACAACTGAAGTAAGGGCCTTTCTAGGAAACCAAGCACTTACATTTCTTAATTTAACAATATTATGTCAGGCAAGTACCATCAGTAAAATTAACTAAAGGAGGCCTGATTGAAGCAGGGTTAATGGTAAAGTCGGGGCTTGGGAAAGTACATGCTGCAGGCCAGATCTGTTCCACCACCTGTTTGTTTGTTTGTTTCTTCCCTTTGATTTTGGTTTCAAAGGCATTTTTTTTTCGGTATCATTAATCTACAATTACATGAGCAACATTATGGTTACTAGACTCCCACCATCATCAAGTCCCCACCACATACCCCATTACAGTCACTGTCCATCAGTGTAGTAAGATGCTATAGAATCCCTCCTTGTCTTCTCTGTGTTGTACAACTCTTCCCGTGCCCCCCCTATAATATGTCTGCTAATAGTAATACCACCCTCTTTTCCCCCTTATCCCTCCCTTCCCACCCACCCTCCCCAGTCCCTTTCCCTTTGCTAACTGTTAGTCCACTCTTGAATTCTGTGATTCTGCTGCTGTTTTGTTCCTTCAGTTTTTTTCTTTCTTCTTATACTCCACAGATGAGTGAAATCATTTGATACTTGTCTTTTTCAGCCTGGCTCATTTCACTGAGCATAATACCCTCTAGCTCAATCCATGTTGTTGCAAATGGTAGGATTTGTTTTCCTCGTATGGCTGAACAATATTCCATTGTGTATATATATGTACCACATCTTCTTTATCCATTCATCTACTGATGGACATTTAGGTTGCTTCCATTTCTTGGCTATTGTAAATAGTGCTGCAATAAACATAGGAGTGCATATGTCTTTTCCAAACTGGGCTGCTGCATTCTTAGGGTAAATTCCTAGAAGTGGAATTCCTGGGTCAAATGGTATTTCTATTTTTAGTTTTTTGAGGAAACTCCGTACTGCTTTCCACAATGGTTGAACTAGTTTGCATTCCAACCAGCAGTGCAGGAGGGTTCCCCTTTCTCTACATCCTCGTCAACATTTGTTGTTGTCTTTTGGGTGTTGGCCATCCTAACTGGTGTGAGGTGATACCTCATTGTGGTTTTAATTTGCATTTCCCTGATGAGTAGCGATGTGGAGCATCTTTTCATGTGTCTGTTGGCCACCTGAATTTCTTCTTTGGAGAAGTGTCTGTTCAGATCCTGTGCCCATTTTTTTATTGGATATTTGCTTTTTGTTCATTGAGGTGTGTGAGTTCTTTATATATTTTGTATGTCAGCCCTTTATTGGATCTGTCATTTATGAATATATTCTCCCATACTGTAGGATGCCTTTCTGTTCTACTGATGTTGTCCTTTGCTGTACAGAAGCTTTTTAGTTTGATATAGTCCCACTTGTTCATTTTTGCTTTTGTTTCCCTTACCCATGAAGATATGTTCATGAAGAAGTTGTTCATTTTTATATTCAAGAGTGTTTTGCCTATGTTTTCTTCTAAGAGTTTTATGGTTCCATGACTTACATTCAGGTCTTTGATCCATTTCAGGTTTACTTTTGTGTATGAAGGTAGACAGTAATCAAGTTTCATTCTCTTACACAAAGCTGTCCAGTTTTGAGAACACCAGCTGTTAAAGAGGCTATCATTTCTCCATTGTATGTCCATGACTCCTTTATCATATATTAATTAACCATATATGTTTGGGTTAATGTCTGGACTCTCTATTCTGTTCCATTAGTCTATGGGTCTGTTCTTGTGCTAGTACCAAATTGTCTTGATTACTGTGGCTTTGTAGTAAGAGTTTGAAGTTGGGGAGTGAGATCTCCACTGCTTTATTCTTCCTTCTCAGGTTGCTTTGGCTATTCGGGGTATTTTGTGGCTCCATATGAATTTTAGAAACTCCTTTATTTTTTATTAGGTAAGTTGTGATTATGATGAATTGTGACAGGGCTTAATATCTCAATTGCATTTTCAAAAGCAGACCATGGGATATTTTCAGAAAATACACTCAACTCATTAGTAGCTGATTTAGTAGTCTTACTACAATTGCCTTAAAGCAGTAGTATTGACTCATATTTTTTATTACGTTAGCAGTAATCAAAACGAGAAGACTGTGGCTAAAGAACCAGTTAGAGTACAGGAGAAATATGAGGTTAAAGCCACTGAAAATATAGGCAATATTTTACAAAGATAGATAATATAGGTAACTCAAAAACAAACTGCCTGCATATATTTAATTATGTATTACATATTTTAAGCATAGCCATGCTTTATAAAATATTAATATATTGACAAGGCAAAAAAAA